TCTCTCTCTCTCTCTCTCTCTCTCTCTCTCTCTCTCTCTCTCTCTCTCTCTCTCTCTCTCTCTCCTTTTTTTAACCCCATTTCCTCTCCCTCCCCATGTGTACTCCCTCTCCTTGTGCACTATTCATAAACGCATACGAATGACGTCACTAAGAGAACAGACAAAATACAACAAGTCAGCCCTTTTACTCTGCCTCCTTTCATAACTTGCAAGTGGGTCGTTAAGGCACACGGGGATGTGGGCAGCTGGCGCTTAACGCTTAACCATCATCAACGTGGCCAGCCTTGTACGTGAGAGGCACAGTAAGAGGGGTGCGTAAGAACCAAATAAACTGGGAGGCCTCCCAACGATAAAAATGATGAATATGTTCAAGAAAATATCATAATTGATCGACATAACAATGCAGCATATATTGTCTACCATATTGCTAACTGTCTCATTGTTGGGTAACTCCCTCTCAAGTATGCTGCATTGCTTGCATAAAGGAAACAATCATGAAAGAGTATGCTTGCATACGAATGATGTTTGAGAGGGAGTATTTTGGGTTCCATGCAATCATAATTTAAAGAGTATGCTTGCATACGAATGATGTTGGATCTACTTGTGAAGGCATTGCTGGCATAAAGGTAATGTCTCTATTGTGCCTCATGTTGTTAACTATGGAGGCAACACTGTTTCCATGCTGGATTGATTCATCTCAAGCATGCTTCATCTTGTACAATAGAGGTGAAGTTGCTGCGATTTTGGATCTACTCATCTGGGTGGAACAGGGGATGTTGTGGTGAACATTCACCACACACACACACACACACACACACACACACACACACACACACACACACACACACACACACACATGCCCTTTGTATTCTGGGAAGCGGCAGTGCTGTTGCTTGTGAAACCCCCAGTAAGTTTCCCCCGCTTGAAAATGAAATACGCACTGGTATGTTAGGGACCCTACTGGACCCAAATGGCTGGTGGCGCCAGCCAAATTGGCTCGAATGTAGGCTTGGCATCTATAGCTGAGAGACGTACTTGTGGTAGAAAATATTTCCACAGCACATGACCCATGCCAACCTCCCAGTGCATCTGATCCCCCGGGTAATTAAAGCACCAGTACACCACACATAGGCCCGCGGGTGTCACCAGTACACCACACATAGGCCCGCGGGTGTCACCAGTACACCACACATAGGCCCGCGGGTGTCAGCACGAAACCCGCACCACTTCAGAGGCCGCCAATTTTTTTTTTTCAACGGCGCCCCACGCCGCGCGGCCCCTCCGAGTTTTGCTTGTGGCGACAAAATTTTTCTGCAAGGCTGGGGACGTCTGGTACCATCTATTTGCGCTTTTGGGTGCGCGTGTGGTCACGCGTACCTCCTGTGTCCAGTCCAGAAAAGACTGAGTAGTGGCGCTGACACTTGCTCCTCAGAAGAACTGCTGGTATTCACACTGCGTACCCCGAAAACTATATGGAGCTTTTTTTCTTTTTTTTTAACCAGGCTGAAATAACACACTGGGCTGTTTTCTTCATGCACAAATTTCTTCAATTACCTCTTTGGAAAATAAAAAAGTTGAAAAGGCATTTGCAACCCCCTCTGGAGGTGTTCTCAAACTGGGTCTTCCCACGGCCCCTCAGGCCGCTGACATCTGGGTCACCAAAAGGTGCAATTGGGTAACCGGAGGGCCAATGTGACCCAAAACCTACCTCAAATTCTGCAACTTCAGGTCACAAGGTCCTCGCGTGAGTATAACCTTTCTCTTTGCCGGAGGCCCTACTGACATGTGGATCTTTGTCTTTGCAGTGCCGCGGTCACACAGTGGCCACACATGTTTTGAAAGTTGCTGGTTGTGGATGGATATTATTACCTAGAGTAATGCCTTTTTTTTTCTTTTTTTTTTTTGGTGACCCCACCGCCAACCGCCAATTAACCCTCCTTGCGTGTTTGTGCGCGTTGTACGTTGTATGTTCTTTGCTTTGTTATGATTTCCTTTTTTTGGATTTGTTTTACAGCCAGAAGTCACCATTTGAACTCAGAGTCCTCCTCAATGATGTATTGGCGAACATCAGTTCAAGTCAGGTCAGGTTTTGCCTGAAATTCTGAAGCTGAACCTGGTCAAACCACCAGTACTTCCCTTTTTTTTTTTTTTTTTTTTTTTTTAATATATAAAGCCCAGGTTGTTGTAGAGGCTGGATTATGGGCATATGAGAGTCACCTTCGGCCCTCTTCCATGTGGTAGAGGCCCCCTAATCCTATGGGACTCCCTCCCAACCTACCGCTTTTGTAATTTCTCCCCGCGCTAAACCACCAGTACTTCCTAAAGTAGTGCCTGTTAACAAGCCACAATTTTAGGAAACGTACGGGCCACTACAGGAGTGCCCAAATTCATCCAACTAGAAATGTTTCTACTCTATTTTTTTGGGCACCCCATAGCTGGGCCAATACTTGCGAAATTTCTACAATCTTTTGTGCAGGGATACTGGGCCTGGTTCCCAGCACGTGATCCTCCCCATGAATAGATTGGAGCATGTCCTTTTGTTTTTTTACCCTTACAGTCTGAGTCTTCTTGAATGCTACACTAGTGCTGTGAAAACTAAGATGCCATTCTGAACGCAAAAAAATAAATAAATAAATAAATAAATAAAAATCGGTGCATGGCACTGCATGGAGAAGGGCCATAAATTACCTTACAGTTGAGATCATATTGTACGCTTTCCTCTTCTTCTTCCTCCCTTTTTGTTTTTATAATGGGAACGAAGCTGCAATCTTATGTTGATTATATCGTATGCTGTCTCATGATGAAAGTGTGCTATCTAGACGGGGAAAAATAGCTTTTAAAAAAAAAGGAAAAAAAAGGACGACGGCATTGAGATATCATCATCGAATTCACCAGCCTCGGGCAATTCAGAATTCCGTTCATTTGACTGTATCTGGATTTGAACTTGGATTTGGATTTCAACAGTTCGTGGGTGTATGGACTGCGGAAACTTATTTTTCTTTCCAACAACAACAACCGTTCCATTATAAGCCGGAAAATGGGTCTGGTGGACTCTGGCGTCCCTTACATATATGCCGCAGCCATGCATGGCTGGGCAAGGCACTCCTGGCCAACCCATCGCCGACCGCACCCAACCTTTTTATCAAGAAATCACCCAAGCCCATGGTTACCCGGACCCGGACAGAGCATGAGGTCCGGACGGACTGACGTCTGGAAAAATCCGGACAAAAAAAAAGAGAAAGAAGAAGAAGAAGAAAAGAGAGAAGGAAAGAAAAGAAAAGGTTACAGAAGGTTTACAGACAGGAAGTGAATTGGGCCCTACCTACCTCAAGGCAGTATGCAGCCTCTGCACCTGTGTGTGTGTGTGTGTGTGTGTGTGTGAGGTTACAGAAGGTTTACAGACAGGAAGTGAATTGGGCCCTACCTACCTCAAGGCAGTATGCAGCCTCTGCACCTGTGTGTGTGTGTGTGTGTGTGTGTGAGGTTACAGAAGGTTTACAGACAGGAAGTGAATT